TGTGTGTGTGTGTGTGTGTGTGTGTGTGTGTGTGTGTGTGTGTGTGTGTGTGTGTGTGGTCGATAGAAGTCAAGGCTATTGATTATTTTAATCCTCCTATTTGTGAGTCTGTGATCCTCGTGGCTCTGCATTCGACAGGGGAATCACTAATGGGCCTCGGCACAGCCCGTCTCAGACCTCTCCCCGTCCAATTAACTTTCAGCTGGAGTCTGCCAGAAGAGCGAGCTGTGGGCTGGGGCCCCAGCACGGTGCAGCTTCATCCCTCCTTTTCTGCTCAGAAGCAACAGATTCACCAAATCCTTTACTTCTGCGATGACATCAGCTCCCTTTTCTAATTAGGTACTGTTTTAGTCAAGAATGCAAGTCATACTCAAGATTCCTTTTATTTTTTACCATGAGGAGTACATGCGACTGGTTCAGAGATAATACTTGATTTGTTTGTGAACTTGAGGTACTAAACTGGCTCATTTTGACAATTTTAATTTAGCTCAATCGTTTTATGAGTGTTAGGATTATGAATCGTAAGTGTTGCAGATATGATTCACTTACARCTCATCAAAAAATCTTATTCAAGCAATTTATAAACAAATTGTTACCAACGAAAGGTGAGGAAAAAACAGTTTCAGTGTATTAATTCTATTTGTGCTCCTTGTAAATGTAAAACAACGTCYGTTAGTTGATGTTTATCTCTGCCTCATAAATATTTAGGGGCATATTTTTTGGTGAGAATATAGTCTGCAAATTATTTCAGTAATTGCTATTTTTAACCCTATTCAAATATGATACAAGCATTTTAATTCAAACATTATTTGAGCTGATTCACACACAAARAAAAAACACACAATGAGGTTAAGTGTGTATGTTCAGAGTGAGGGGACCAACGTGAAGTCTARAATCAATATAAAAACATTAAACAATGCTAATAATATTTAGGAATTTTCATAAAATAGCTTTCATCATGTTAGCCATACTTATCCTGGCATTATCTATAAAATTATTTTATGCCATTTAAAACACACATATTACTTGTTTTTGGTGAATCCAGATTGTTTTGTACCTCAGCTCTGTGTTGCTGTAGTAATTTTTGTATCACACTGTGTCTTAAGATGTATTGAAAATCAATTTTGCAGCAGCCTATGCTGCGGTCACTTCGATCCCTGCTGTAAGTTCATGTAACCGTACCATATATCCAATTCACGAGTCCGTCCGAGTGGTCATTTCAAATAAAACCCAACATGTCGTCTGTTTTAGGACCGCCGAGTGCTTCTATTCCGCTCTGACCTTGAAATGTGGAAACCCTTTGCAAAAAAGCAGACAAAGTGACAAAAGTTGATGTGGATGTTTTAATAGTAATTGGTCACTCAACCTCTTAGATATACCAGRTAGTTGGTGTGAAAGTTAGTAAGTTTACACATAATGATATTTTAACAGGGTTTCTTTAAAAATAAAGTAGACAGGGCATTTTAAAGGAAAGTGTCTGACTTTATATACAACACTGAATGAAAGTAAAACACATAAACCTGACTTTTACTCTATTATCTGACATATTTACATATTCATCATCCACACACTCGCACAGTTTTGTTATCAATTTTGCTTTTGGCAGTTAAAACACAATTACACACAGWTTCACACTGGAAAATATGTTTGGAGTGTTGTCTTTTCATCAGTTTTGTTCAACATGTGAGCATAAAAAACAAATAAAATAAGTGTTTATTTCAGTTTTGTTTCGCTATAGATTGGATCACAACAAAGTATTAATTCATCACAATTAGTCGTATTTATTTAAAATTTCTTTGCACTAATGTTTTTCTGTATTTAGGTGTAAAACAGGCAGAATGTTCAATTAGAGAGATTTAGAATGTGTGGACAAAAAGAATCGACACTTTTATTGCATTACAATGATCAAACTGGGTGTCTTTGTTATATTTTTAATTCTCACAAATGTCAGGTAATACAGAATTCATTATAATGTTCGAGATATTTCAGAGACTCAGTGTGTAATAGTTATTTGCATCTMTAGTGGCTACATATTCTGGGATTCATGTTTGCACACAAAAAGGTGCCATTTGCAGATTYCATTCAGATAATTTGGTATATGTCTTATTTTATCTCAATCCTTTTGAATAATTTTTATCTCTATGCAGATATGTATGTGTGTGTGTGTTTGCTGGAATGCATGCATGTGTGTCCATTACTTTCATGTGCAATAATTTGCATACTGTACACATCTGTTGTGTCACTTTGTATGTTGTTTTTCCTCCTGCCTCTCCCTCTCTCTCTCTCTCTCTCTCTCTCTGTAAATTGATTTCAGTCCGGGTAAATGAGGAAGCCAGAGAAGGTGCTGTACTTGTTCTGGTTTCCTCCGTGGACCTTCCCTCCGTCCAGCTGCACACACACCTCATCGCCTACATCCAAATGCAGGATCACGCTGTTGGAGGCGTAGTCGTAATTCTGATCGGCGTCCTGAGCGATGGCGCTTGCTCTCACCTGTTAGAGGACACGTGCATTCACAATTAGGAYGAAATTACACACTTGGAGCTGTTAAAAARGCAGACAAAAAAACTCACTTTTTATCATTTYTCTTTTATAGTCTGGCTTAAAACCAATTATATCAGGCTTCAGATGAGACACCCTTGACATCACATGCGTAACAGACACTTAAAGTGATGGATATGATGGCCTCTGACCCCATAGATCAGCGCAACCACTCGATCACTCATTGATCAGATGGGGATGGTTAAAGACTTGAGGATGGAGGTCTGAATGGGTAGTAGAGATAAGCTTGCTCACTGGGGACAACAGGTTGTCTATCGGGAAACAGATTCAGCCGATAAACAACATCACTATCCACGTCAACGATTGACCTGTTGCTTATGATGCGTATAGCCACTCGATATGCATGACATCGAGTGGCTACGTCGTGGGGTAGACAGGTTCACATTTGCATTCTTTGTGTGTTTGGTCTTATTGACCCAAAAGCAGTGGATCTTTGCTTGTTTGTTAACAYGTTTAATTGGGTTTACTCGGTGTGGATATCTTCAGATCTGCAAAGTTTCTGTTTTTACAAGAAACAGGATTTGTCACATCTCTGCTTTTTGYGGATGATGTGGTCCTATTGGCTTCATCAGAACGTGATCTCCGGCTCTCACTGGAGCGGTTCGCAGCTGAATGTGAAGCGGCCGGGATGAGGATCAGTGCCTCCAAATCCAAGACCATGGTCTTGAGCCAGAAACCGGTAGCGTGCCGCCTCCCGGTTGATCCCCAAGTGGAGGAGTTTAAGTATCTCGGAGTCTTGTTCACGAATGAGAGAAGAATGGAGCGGGAGATCAACAGGCGGATTGGTGCTGCATCTGCAGTGATGCGGGCGCTGTACCGGTCTGTCGTGGTGAAGTGGGAGCTGAGCCAGAAGGCAAAGCTCTTGGTTTACCGGTCGGTCTACGTTCCTACCCTCATTTATGGTCACGAACTTCAGGTAGTGACGGAAAGAACGAGATCGTGGATACAAGCGGCCGAAATGAGTTTCCTCCGCAGGGTGGCAGGRCTCTCCCTTAGAGATAGGRTGAGAAGCTCGGTCATTCGGGAGGGACTCAGAGTAGAGCCGCTGCTCCTCCACATCGAGAGGAGCCAGTTGAGGTGGCTCGGGTATCTGGTTAGGATGCCTCCTGGACGCCTCCCTGGTGAGGTGTTCTGGGCACGTCCCACTGGGAGGAGGCCCAGAGGAAGWCCCAGGACACGCTGGAGGGACTATGTYTCTCAGATGGCCTGGGAACACCTTGGGATTCCCMCRGAKGAGCTGGCCCAAGTGGCTGAGGAGAGGGAAGTCTGGGTCTCTCTGCTTAGGCTGCTGCCCCTGYGACCTGACCCCAGATAAGCGGCAGAAAACGGATGGACGGACAGAGGATTTGTCCATATATAGTCGTTAAAAAAACATGTCAAACTTTTGACATTGCTGCTAAAAATATGAAAATCTTGTTTTGTTTTTTWWTTWWTTWWTTKTTGTATGGACTAATCTAATRCCTCAAATACTTAAAGAAAAAAACATAAATAGGATGTATCAATAATTGTGGTGTAGCAGCTCCAATCATCAGACGTATGTCAGCAGTCAGTGGCCTTGTGTCTGGCTTTGTGTCCATCCATGCTGGGAGCACTCAATCTATGTCAGCACCCAGACAAGCGACGCACATCTCCATGACAGCCACAGAATATGATCTGCAATTCAACCACCATCATGTCACTCCCATCACTGGGACCCCTTTTCTCCCCAAYGAGCACACATCAATTTGAAAATAGTCAGTCACCGAGCGGCAGAGCCTGAATTACTGTAACTACAAAAAATAAATATATTTGTGTTCCTTTCCCGCTCCRCCAATCCATTTTGTCCTTGTCTAGACGCATGGCTCACCATTTATCAGTCCTGAACTTGTGTTTTTATTGCCCGAGCATAATCTGTGGGTGTCGTGAAATAAAATGCAGCAGGATCCTGTCCATTTTGAACCCGACTGATTAAGGGAGCGGAGAAGTAAATCTGACAGCTCAACAGTAACACAGTAAAAAACCAACTACAGCTGCTGCTACACCAGACGGATGATTTGTGTCCAGMTTTTTAAAAAATTCATTCAACACTTYATTAAAAKGAGTTWATCAAAAATGCAGATTAATSCAGTTCTCMGATTTAAAGGGATWCTTCAGATCTTTTGAAATGACATTGAACAGTTATCATCTTGCCAGTTTGAACAACTCTGATCTAAGCAGAGCCAAGACTGAAGTGTGCTGTCTCAAAACATCACATTATTTTACACACTTGGTATAAAATATCTATGGTTATTTATACAAACGTTTTGGGTAGTTTGCACAACTAGCAACAGCAGAAGCAGGAATAGAGAAACCAAGKAATGSAAAACTGACAGCAATGTAAAGATTGAATGGTTCCCAAACTTTTCGCTGTTTGACCCACAAAGTAATAGCAACACAAACTATTTTTTGGTGATAAACACAGATCAAACAGTTAACAATATTCATTTTGCTAGTTTTGTCCATTTTCAAGTACACTAAGACAAAAAATTGTTAGTAGCCATTTTAAATGTYAATAATTCTGAAAATCTTTTCAAGACCCCACCTTGATGTTTCAGGACCTATGGGGCGTCGACCCCAACTTTGGGAACCACAGTTTTAGAAGAACCACCGTGAAGTTGTTTTAAGATGGCCCCCATGACCCTGAAAGGAATAAGTGGGTATAGATAATGGATGGAAGAAATCCTATTGGATTTTGACCCCACTCAGACTAGCTGTTAGCTCATCGGTGTCCAGCTTTGAGTAGGAAGAGGGATGCTTTCTGTTTCCAGCCCATCATAAGGAAACACCAGAGAACAAACAACCACAAACGCTCTAACTTGACCAAGTTTGTACAGTTTCACATGAAAGGTTTTGGACTTCTGGAGAAAACTGTAATAGAAATGTTATACTAAAAGTCCTCACAGAAAAGTAGTCTATAGCTGACTTAAAACCTTTTGTTTTTCTTTTTAGTCAGCAGCATATTTCACATTTACAAAATGTATGAAATGAGTACTTCACAAAAAATGTTGTTTCGTCATTTTTAACTTTTAGCTCCCAGAAGACCATCTCCCAAAGAAACACCACGGGAGCCATCTGTAAAGGTTATATTGTTCTGCTTGACATGAAGTAGTGACAGTCAGAATCACATTTGCATCTTTGGCTGCTTTTGACATTGATGCTGTTGTTGTGACTTTTTATCGACAGCAGGCGCCTGTCATCCCGCTCATTATTTTGACCAAACTGGAAGGAAATGTGGGAATACCCTCACCCCCTCAACCCTGTCAGACATCAATGACCTTAGCAGCACTTTGCAAAAATAACATCAAATATGAAGCATATTAGTTCGGATTTGATGAATGAAATGTTGGTTTAGCCGATGTTCCCGGGGTTGAAAGATTAATGTTAGCCATTTATTAATGCAGACACYAGACAGGGAGTCACAGGGGAGACGGTGTGGGATTAGGACAGGGAGCCAACAGAGGAGATGGATACGAATAGAGGACAGACTGATCCATGTGAAGCGGGAAGCGTACAACACTGATCCTAAAGCTGGAAGAGCTGTGAGCCATGAGGCGGGGGCCCCCGGGGCTTGCCTGTGGCTATCTCAGTCTTCTGGCTAGTCCCTTTTCCTTTTCTTTATTGGGCCTCCAGTAAACACGCCTAGGAGCAGAGGACCACAGGCAAGGAGAATGAGAGGGAGGAGGTTTTTTTTTTCTACGAGCAGAGTCGCAAAACACTGACAAGGATAGACAAAATAAAGTGAGGGGAAGGGAAAAAGAGGGGTCAGAGAGTTGATGAAGGGGGGCCAGGAGGAACAAACTGATCAAGCGGGGCTATTTTGTGAGACCAAGGGAGATGTGGGGGTGTATGAAGTCTTGTTTTTATCTGTGGTGCTTTGCTCCACTGGTAATAAAACTGACAGGATTCATTCGCTGTGATATACTGACCTCTTAGAGCGGAGACAATAGAAAAGTCGCTGTTAAACTTACCTAAGGGACACCAGTGCATGGCAGGAGGCTTGGGGAAGTGGTGAGGGGTGACGTTGTGGAAATAGAATATTTATTGAATAGGTTTCCCCCCCTCCTCCCCACCCTCTCCGCTGGGAGCCCAGGGATTACACGGCGACAAGCGACTTAGGCACCGAACCGTGTCTGGGATAGCTATTACCTGCCATTCACTATTACAGCATGTGGTCGGTGATACCTGAGGCATATTATCATATTTTATTTACATCCCACATGAACTAAAAATAAATAAATAAATAAAAGACAACATTTGTCCTGTCAGTCCAAAAGTAATTGTGCTAACACTTCTCCTCTCTGAAGCCAATTTTGTTCCCCTTGCAGCCTATCTATGTCTCCTAAGTTAAAACAGGCACAGGTCATTACAGTAGGTGATGACATTTTAACATTGTCGTGTGAATTAACCTGACCTTTAGCTGGGTTATTAAAAGAGACTGTGACAGGTGAAAAAGCAAGTGTGAGAAGAAATGCAAGCCAAGACAGTATCCATTTGTCTCTGTAGCCTTAAAAATATTTGATATAGCTTTATAGGAGTTTAAATGACTGGATGAGCAGTTCATGTGCTTGTTAATGAGGACAACAGGAGTTGTATTACTTCTCTTCATAACTAGAGAAGCATGCCAACTCTATCATACACTGTCTTAATAACATCTGGTGCTAACCTGGAACCTCGAATATTTAATTATTTCAAAGACGTATATCGTTGACAGGACATTAGGAATTGAGTAATTAAACCCGTTTGTTAAAGACAACAAGAAGCATTTATGAATGTTTATTCTCAAGAATATAAATCTGTATTGACTCATTAAGGGTCCTAATGAAGCACGTCCATCTATCACTTTCCAAAGCTGGGCTTAGCTGAGCAGATAACATACATGACGGTTAATAAACTCAACAAGTACAGGATGTTATCATCAGTTAAACCTTCACAAGTCAGTTGCAAATACAAGTCTTGCTCCCTTCAGTCACAAATCCCCTGCAACTCGAGAAATGTTGCACTGCGATGATTTGTGAACATTAGATTAGGGTGTGAGCAATTAGGCTTCACAGRGTGGATGTTTATTAGACATTAGATCCCAACTAACATGACTCTCATCCACGATATGACTAAAAACCCAGGAGTCCAAACAAAACGTCAGTACCACGTTAACAGACAGACATCACTGCACTGATTTATAAGCCGCATCAGTTTAAACTCGTTCGAGTGGCAAAAAGACGAAGTTTTGGAAAAAAAGATTTTTGTCGTCCTCTGTTTCTGCTCGACCTTGATCACACGTCAAGCGTTGATGTGGTGAGTGGGTGTCCATCGGTCATCATGCCTGATCTCTTCCTGGCCTTCAACACCAGCCTCCCAGATGCCTCATCTACCAGCCCACTGTCTCCAGACCTCCATTAAGTCATCTATCGTCCTCGGCCCCACCCATGACCGTCAGCTCGCTTGTCTTGTTCTGCTTTCGCTTTCAGTGTCTTCTGGAGGACATCCCGGCACGTCCCCAATGAGTTTATGTATGTTTCATTCATTCTCACTGACAAATGAGCTGACTCACCAAGGCGGTGTTRAAAATCAACTGCATAAAATTAAAAGGGAGTCAGGCATTTTGTAGCTATTTGTTAAAGAAATTTTTTAAGTTTGAGCACCTACGGCGATGATTAAACAGACGTGGTTGAGTCTATGTTCAGGAATGCAACTTATCAAACACAGCACCTGTTAACTAATCCCCAGCTGCTGACCGGCCTCAGGCGGAGTACCCGTCTGCCTCGGGGCTTTAATAACTCCAAACATGATCAGGCATTCTGCAGGATTTCATTTACACTCCGTTTTCATTCACCAGGAGCTCTGCTTGGGCAGATCTCTGTAAAGTGGGTGCTCTGTTTAACTGAAGCAGTTAAAGGAGCCACCTGACGGGTGTCAGATGGACCTGGGCGAGGTTGGATAATTGAGCTGAGTGAAAAGATAATTAATGGAGAATCAATGAACAAGCTGGGATGAGGGATAGGAGAGGAAGGTATATGGCGGGTGTTCAGGGGGATCTAATCTAAGACGGATGAATTATTTAGCAGGCTAAAATGACTGGAATGACAATACGGCACATTAGGTGGGCAGCCTTAAACACATATTCACCTTTGTGATCTATTAAAAACACAGAAATTAGGAAAGGGGAAMTTATTTCAGATCCCAAAAGATTAGTTCTGATCAAATTTTATGAGTGTGAATCGTCCTTGGTCTGAGCAGAAAATTTTTGCACTCGGAGTCCTTGATGAATGAATGAAGGTAAAAATGAAGTTGAAGATTTTTTTCCCCAAGATTTAGACTCCTCTGATAAAAATCCCTGTGATATATCCCACCTCTCCGCTCCTCTTCCCTCCTAGCAGCCCCCTCTATCATTAATTAGTGTCTGGGGAATGAGGCAGTGGATGAGTGGACTGTCAATATTAAATTCATTATTTCTTTAGCTGAGGTGCAAACTGGCTCGTCCACATTCTGACAGACATTTCTCCCGTGCTCTTTTGCACTTCTGTTTAGGTGATAATCAAGCTCTGTGTGTGATACTTACTAATTAGGCTGTTCTTTTCGGTGCGGCACCACCCGCATTCTGCCACTTGTCATTTAGCCAAAGCATGTGTGGGAATGTAAATATCCGTGGCTGAAATACTGGGCTGTATAGTGTGAATCCGCCTTAATGAGGAGAAGGATTGCCTTTTCATTCTTTGGTTGCCAACCTTCTAAGTGGAATGTGCTCTGAATCTGAAGAGCTCAATGTTGCAGAGGTGAATATGAGTTTATGGCAAGACACATCAACAATCAGGAAAAAATAAATAAATAAATAAAAATCTGTTGCATGGGCATGTGTAGCATTTCCAATCCAGACACACCCTGTGTTCCGCTCACACTCCCTCACACACACACACACACACACACACACTTTACTAACCAGTCCATTCTTCCTCAGGTCTGCCCACATGCTAGTCCCATCACCACCTCTCATTAGAACATGGTAGGTGAAAAAATAGATGCCAGGCAGGGGGCAGGTGAACTTGCCAGTGCTGGGCTCGTAGTAGTTACCTACATTGGTCACCACATCATCAAATTTCAGTATTTCATTGCCCTCGTGCTGCTTGCGGAGCCCTGCATAGAACGCAATTTTGGGAGTGTAGATTGCAGGAGAATAGCCTCCAGGGCCTGGTCCGGGTGGCCCCTGTGGCCCAGCTTTGCCTGGCTCTCCAGGGGGTCCCCGCTCTCCTGGAGGGCCAGGGATCCCCGGAGGCCCCCTTAGTCCGGGCTTCATCCTCTTTCCAGTGTAATCCTGGGGAGGTGGGGACACGCCTGTCAGCTCTTGACCTGGCTGTGAAGTAGAGTAAGGGTCACACACCATCCTGCAGCTTCCAAGCATCTCGTAATGGCTCCCCGCGCTTCCACTGGTGCCCCCTTTGGTCGTGTGGACCAGCAGCGGAATGGCCACCAACAAAATTAGGACCATGGCCACACCTACAGCGGCCACTATAACACGTTTCCTGCGGCTGAGCCGTGAAGCGGCCAGCGCGAGGAAGTCCTCTTCCCCCTTAGCTGGWATAGTGCCGGCCAGGATGGAGCCTTTCTGAGAACCAGCTTGAAATGAAAAGGTGAGAAAGGAGAAGAAAAAAAGTGTGTGTGGGGGGGGATGAGGGGGTCAGAGGAAATCGGTACGTTGTTTGGTCGAGTATAAGTGAAGAATCAAAATGGTAGCAAGGAAACAACAGGAGAAGAAAATCCAAGAACAATTAAAAAAGAAAAATTCTCCAAGACTCGCAACAAGGGTCTGGGTGTTTTAAAGTTGATTCACAAAAACATATTTGTCTTGATGTAAATGTTGGAATCAAACAAAAATTGAAACCAACAAAAGAATAGTTTGTTCCAAATTAAACTTAAAGAATAGAGTGTTGAAATATTCTTTGTTGTGCTGGAAAAAAAGACAATTCATTTGTTTTAATGTCTCTTAAAGCCCAACTTAAAAGCGCAGGAACATTTCACATGGATGTCTAATGCCATGATGACAGGGATAGGAAAAGTTCCTCATAGATTTAGTTTTCTTCTGGTGATCATCTGAGAACACCTCACTGTTTTCTGTCCTCGTTTATCAGGAATTCAACAAATTTCCCCAACTTGTTTCCCAAATGATTCCTCCTCTGTCTCTATTTGGACCTGAGGAAAGATGGGGAAAAAAGAAGGATGATTGTATTGTACTTGCAGATCTTCACAATTTAACTGTAACAAAATGCTTTGAATCACATTTCTTTAAAATAAAATTACAGCACAAAATAAAATTTTATTAGAGATAATTTTAACTGTTTTATAGCTTTCAGTTTTTGTATTTTTTAATTCTATACAAGCAATTTTTATTTTTATTTTTTGTCAAACAAAACAGGCAAGGAAACATTAAAAAACTTACCTTGCGTGTGTCTAATCCAAAAGRAATCCAATCTTTGCACGTTAGTTTCCACTTTGTCTCTCTAAAGTGCTCAGAACCGCCGGAGTGCCAATTTGGAGACGCAGCCGAACGCGCACGAGCTTCCAGGAAAGTAATGCGACTTTCTTAACAGGCGGGTAATTCCTTTCCTTTCTTTTTTAGAGATGGAAACTCTTTGACTTCTGGTCGAGTTAATTCCAGAAACAAAAAAACTCAAAAACTACTTTTTTTTTCTTTCCTTTTTGATGCGGTTCCAGATGAGGAGCGCGCGGCGGTGTGGCGCTGCGCTCTGTGTCTGCGTTCCGAAGCGTTTGGTCCACATCAGTCCCAGTCTGCACCTGTTAGATCTCTCCTCCTCCCCACCCCCTCCCCCTSCCCTTGCCTCTCTCTCTCTCTCTGTAACATCCGCAGCTATGTTTTTTTTCCCTTTTATTCCCCCACGATTATACTTTGGATTTACAAAATAACTCCCATCTACCCCATCAGGTTTGTTTGATGCAGTTTGTATGTGATGCTTGTTATTTAGGTCATCATTTTCATTTCTCTGTAAACCAAAGGCGACAAACTAATTGCGCTGATTCCTCCTGTCTGTGCTGGGAGAAGGCCATTCACCTGTTGTTAGTAGCAAACTCTCTGCATGCAAAATGTTTGATACTGTGCTGCAAAACGAAGGCGGATGTTTTCATCTTCTCCATGTCAGAAAAAGGGAGGACATGGGGGGGATAGGGAGGTGAGGGCTTGGGGGGGGGGGGGGGGGTCTTTGACTGAGTTAAAGCTGCCTTGGTGTGATGTGTGAGGAATGGAGAGGAGAGGCTAAATGGTCCCCAGATCATTGTCTGTGTTTGTGACTCTCGCATCCCACAGCTATACAGCCTCATTAGTGAGACACCCTGCCCCAGACATTGTGCTGCTCTTTTTCTCCTTTACCTAAAAGAAAAACCTTACACACACACACATACACACACATACACACACATCCAGCGTCTGCAAACACGGGGAGAAATAAACATGCATGCGACCAGACGCACACAGGCAAAGAGTTTCCACCCCATTATTTGTTGAAGGCCGTGTTTTAGTGTCACGTGTGTCATTTCTAATTCTTACCATTTCACAGCAACATTTTAAAACTATGTTTTGTTCTTAGGTAAAACCTAACTCACACAAGACGCGGATTTATGTTTTAACTTTTAGGTGTGCCTCAATAACAAAATCTCTTTTCACTGGGATTTTAAGATTTTTTTTTGTATAAGCTGAAACAAAAGTTCAGATCTTAAAGTGAGTGTCTGTTAAAATGTGTTATGAACAATGCTGTCTGCTGTAGATCTTTACACAACATTAGTTGGAAAAATATATATATTTCTGACCAGACTGAGGAGCTAACAGTGAGTCAAAGCAAGGCCACTATCAAGGTGTATTGATCTTAAAACAACTCTAATTTAGTTTATACAAAAGCAATTTTAAATACCTTTATGCCATATTAGTTTCACTTTATGAAAGTATACATATATTCTTATGGTTATTTGTAAAAGCATATGTAGCAACAATAGGCACTAATATGTTTTCTGTCATAACAATAAAATTGATTAAAAAAATTATAGGTTTATAAAGTAATATTTGCATAACTGCTTTAAAGTAGCCAGTAGCTTATTGATTTGGTTAACAAAATGATGACTTGTTTGAAACAAGCTTTTAGGTCATTATTTCTCAAAAGCTGTGTATTTTAAATCCATAAAATACACCAAAAACCACTTTTTAAATTTCTTTTTTAAACGCATGTGTTAGAATCTGTTCTTTTTTCACCCAAAATTCAGACAGGAGGTGCAAACACAGCAGAAAGTTTTCATTTTTAATAACTTTTGGTCTGGTGTCAACTGAGCTTAAAATACAGTATAATAAACGACTTTACAAAAAAAAAACATTTTGGCACACGAGACTTGAATGTATCACAAAAATCAGACAGAGATATCAGTTCACTTACAAAAAGAAATTAAGAGTCTGCATTGACTCTTACAACTAGATTTAGACAATAATCAATAAGGAGGATGAAAAAGGAGACATCTGCAGACGCAATCATGGCTGGAAAAACGCAGCAGCAAAGCTAACTTTCCCAGAGAAATTTCTGACCCTGCTTTAAATTATTGTAGGTCATATTTAGTCGTGAAAGTGCTGAATCCCATAATGACCACCGATTCAATCTCACAGTCAAAGATTTTCTTTGATCATGAGCAACACATAGTTGATGACTTTTAATGTTTTAATTGTAACAGGATGCATCAGCATCCATATATTAACCTAAAGGTTTTGTAAAAGCATTGCTTACGTCGCTTATGTTGGTTTTACCTTATTGTCAAATGTCAGTTCATTCTCAGCATTTTCTGCTCCTTACTGATCATGTCATCATGGTCAAAGTTTACATTATTATGATTATTGTGTTATCTGTCTGCCAGGCACAATCCCATGGTAGCATGATAAGAAACCTCCATACGGTATGAATCCCTTTTCATCAACCACCACCGCAGTCTTTCCTCTGTTTTCACAACCGCTACTCAGATAAYGTAGGGATCACCCACCCTCATCCAACCAGACAGAAGCAAGTAGATAATAYACACTTTTTTGAGATGGTTACTCAAAGATGGGTTGGATTAAGGAGAAAAACAACGAGGTGGAGAAAGTTTTGCAGCAGTGTCAGTCCCTGTTTGCAGGGTAGTCAGTTTCTCCCACTAAGACAGTACACAGAAGTCCTGAGCAGCACAGGGCAGATAATCATTGCCACCACTCAGAGCCAATACACCCAGGATTGGATTTTTAGAGCCTGTTAAAATATTACTGAGGTGATTAATATTGAAATATGCGTATGTCTTTCAGCTGTCTGTCTCCCTTTCTCCTCATCCTCGTCTTGATTCGTTCCCTGCTGTACACTAAAATTTCAATATTCTGCATTACGGTGATGAAATGTGTTTTTCTTTCTATTTCAGTGCAGTTGTTTTATCATGTTATCTGCTCTGACTCCAGTGTGACTCACAGAGATTCAGCTGTTGACGTAGCAAAAAGGACGATCAGAGACTCAGCTCTGGCCGTTAGGAGTTGTTAGTTTATTTAAAAATGACCCTGGTGAGTTATTATACACCAAGTATAAATCTTAGTGTTTTGCACACACGTCCGCAAAATTCAGGCTCGACGTTTTCTTTACTCTCTTTTGTATAAACAGGCAYGAGAGGAGCAGACTCTTATTTATGACCACATAACTCAGGGTTTATTTCTCTCCTGCTTCGGCTGCGTGTTTTTGTGAAGTCAAGCCGAGTATTTAGTTTCACAGCAAGTTTTTTTAAACAGCTTCTAAATCAAATCAAATCAAATCAAATCAAAAGAAGGTATCAATAAATGATTGGAGATGATCAGCTGTGTCAGTAATGTTTTACAATTAACATAATATACTGTATTACATGAAGACTTGATCACATCAGTGTTCAGAGCTCAATCCACAGACAGCACCGGTGCTGAAATGAACGAGGACATTTTTTTTWAAAAGCAAGTTGCTAACAAAGGATCACTGTTACTCCCTTGTTAGACTTCCATTCATGTTTTTTACAGCCACTGCTGACAAGATTCCAACCATCAAGCTTAAATTTGAATTAAACTGTTATAAAAATGTTAAAGGGATGTTTGCAGGTGTCAGGTGTTTTGTACCTTTATTATAGTTGAAGAGACTGTTGCCAAATACAGGCAGTCAGTATAAAAGACTTGCTTCACATCCATCCATCCATCCATCCATCCATCCATCCATCCATCCATCCATCCATCCATCCATTGTCTTCCACTTACCCGGGTTCGGGTCGCGGGGGCAGCAGCCAGAGTGACCCAGACTTCCCTCTCCCCAGCCACTTGGGCCAGGTCAACTGGGGGAATCCCAAGGTGTTTCCAAGCCAGCAGAGAAACATAGTCCCTCCAGAATGTCCTGGGTCTTCCTCTGGGTCTCTTCCCAGTGGTACGACTTAGTGGTCTCTCTYTTAGGTGTGCCTCAAAGCTCTGTTTTAGGACCTACTTACTTTTCAATTTACAATGAAAATGTTGAACAGATTGTTACATCTTTCTGCTTATGACAAAGTTGTTTATTGTTGTCCTATACTCTGCCACCTTGAAATTAATTCTTTGCCCATCACACCCTGTGGCACAGAGGGCTGCCAGGTGCCCAAGGAGCAGTTGGAGGGTTAAGMGGTTTAAGAAGCTCCAGTAGGGCAAATAAGGCCAAGGTTTTCTCACCCATATTTTATTTGCCAGTCTGAGGATTTGAACCATCTTCCCAATCAAAGGCTAATAAGGATGAAATAAAAAAAGATACAGAAACTATAAAATAAAAGATAAATAAGAAGTTCTAGTTTGTATTTCATTGTTTTCACTCTCTAAAAGGAAAAACTGCATTCCCTCTTGCTTACTTGAGTCTGTTCATTGTATGTTGAGTACAGACTTTTAAGCAGAGTATACATGGGTTGTGTCTGTGTCCACATCCTGGTGCCAGGCTGTTCTATTAAACTCTGATTATGGGGCCTGATGCAGAATGACAGCGTGCAGATTGAGTTGCACAGCCACTCTAATTCTCTCTATTAATAATAACCCTCCACACTGCTGTCCTGAACCACATTTATTAATCACAATTTGTCATCTGTCCGATGCTTCACCATCTCCTTCTCCCTTTCTCTCACCCTTCCTAAGTTTTTTTTTCGTTCTCCTCCTCCACAAGCTCCGTTTGCCTTCAGTCCAGAGACATGGTCCAGCATACAGAGAGAAGACGTTCTCACTCTCCTCTCTARCACGCGCTCTCCCACTCACTTCACCTGGAAGGAGTCGGATTAATCAAAAGCTCTCCAGCTTTAATTGGCCAAAATAACCGTTAATGACTCMGATTGTTTGAACTGTTTTTTGGTAACAACCTGATTTTATAATAAATGGCTCTGAAGCAAACCCATATCTGCTATAACAGGATAGCTGGGATGCAAACCTTCTCCAGTGTAATGCATCATTATAGGCATGCTCCAGCATTCACTGAGGGAGCGCTCGGTGGCCTTTTGGAACACATTGATTCCTTCCACTATTAATCCAAGCCATCTGGAATTTCTATGAACACAAACGCTGGCATTTAATCAATGTGCATGCTGGGATATGCACGATGTATCATTGCATTTGTGAGAAAATATCCTCATGGCCAAAGCAGCATTTCTGCTTATGTCCCATCCAAGTGACCTTCGACACCGCTAAAAAAGATGATTTATGAGTCAGCTTGATCTTGCTCTGCAGGTCCAACTTTGCATT